ATTCCAAATCTGCCATCCTAACATTTCTTTTAAACAAATAAGTCTTGTAAGTTATAAATGAATTCAATGATTTATGTTTCAGAACCTTTTTTTTTTACTTTTTTTTTTTTTTACAAGAATCTCTTTCAGGCTTGAGTTTGTTAGTTACATGCAAGTTCCAGCAGTTCTTTCATGTGGTAGATAAAGTTCATAGAAAGACCGTCAGCAAGATTTATAACTTAGTTTATCCTCACAAGTGGTCTATCTTCGTGGCTCAGGTCGACTGCATTTAGTAGAGTTTACCCAACCGAACTTGCACACGAAAATCACTCACTACGAAAGCAAAAGACTTGGCAGACGATGCAACATCCCCCCAATGAAAAGCAGGGGTGTCACTAGCACGTTAAGAGACCATACAATAAGTGTCAGGGGCCCAAGACTGTTCAACTGCCTCCCAGCACACATAAGGGGGATTACCAACAGACCCCTGGCAGTCTTCAAGCTGGCACTGGACAAGCACCTAAAGTCGGTTCCTGACCAGCCGGGCTGTGGCTCGTACGTTTGTTTGCGTGCAGCCAGCAGCAACAGCCTGGTTGATCAGGCTCTGATCCACCAGGAGGCCTGGTCACAGACCGGGCCGCGGGGGCGTTGACCCCCGGAACTCTCTGCAGGTAAACTCCAGGTAAACAACGTTGTCATTTTCTATTAATGCTGTGACCTGGATTTTGTTGCTCCTCGGTCTCACAATACACGAATGGATTTCACGAAATTTCTAGTTTGTGCCCTAGTGAATGGTGGAGTCGACTGAGGAAAGGCCTCTTCTACTTCTGGTTGTGATGAACTTTGAGACTGCTGCATGAATTACCTATGAGTTTTGTCCATAGGTCCCTTAAAGTTTGCTTTATGGTGACGCGAATGATACCATAGCGCAGTCTAGCTCGCAGATTCTCTACTGTCAAGTCACCAAGGCACGTTTTTAATTCCATAAATAACTAATTTCAGTGTGAATAGACACAATTCCCACAAGCCCTCCTAGGGCGGGAAAGGCGCCACAGCTTACTACCACCTGCAGCTTGACAAGACTGCCATTCCCACGAGGCCCCCTGGGGTGGAGAAGGTAGCAGACCAGAGGCCTAGCTTCTCCCTACAAGTCCGTGAGGGCGGAAAATGAGGCTAGGCCTGGGTACAGTTGGTCCCAGATGATGAGGAGGTATTTGTACCTCCTCCCATGGCAGACATAGGTCTCAGGCACTTCCAAGACAGGGAGTCAGGTCACCATCTGGAAAACACCCAGACCGGGAGCGTACCGGTGGATCAAGAATAATACAGTCGTATCCCTTCGAATAACTGTCTGTGGGTTTGTTAGCTCCACAACCATTTATTTACTGCCATTTTGCATTAAAAAAAAAACACGTGTCCAGCACGCATCTTTCTCTCCGCATATGTTGGCAAGTTAAGTTTTCCAACTGTCTTCATCTTTCAGCTTTTCTCAACATTTTAACACCTGCAGCATTTTAACACCTGCAACATTTTAACACCTGCAGCATTTTAACACCTGCAACATTGTAACACCTGCAACATTGTTACACTGCACATTTAACACCTGCAACATTTGTAACACCTGCAACATTTAACTGCAACATTTAACCTGCAACATTTTAACACCTGCAACATTTTAACACCTGCAACATTTTAACACCTGCAACATTTTAACACCTGCAACATTTTAACACCTGCAACATTTAACACCTGCAACATTTTAACACCTGCAGCAATATACAAGGTTTCAGTAAGTGATATTAAGGAGCAATAAATGACGATAATAAAATTATGAAAATAAATTCTCGATAAAATTTTAATTTTTTTGTTCAACGGAAAATGTTAGATTTACCTGGAGAGGGTTTTTGGGGTCACCGCCCCCGCGGCCCGGTCTGAGACCAGGCCTCGTGGTGGTGCGGCCAACCCTGTTGGCCGCACATAAACCTATGTACGAACCACAGCCCGGCTGGTCAGGTACTGACTTTAGGTGCCTGTCCAGTGCCTGCTTGAAGACAGCCAGAGGTCTATTGGTAATCCCCCTTATGTATGCTGGGAGGCAGATAAACAGTTTTGGGCCCCTGACATTTAAAGTGTTATCTCTCAGTGTACTCGTGGCGCCCCGTGGTTTTCGTGTGCAAGTTTGGTACTAATCACTCTAGAATTTTCCAAGTGTATTGTATGATGTATCTTTCTTGCAGTGTATTCCAAGGAATACAAATCAAAGGATTTCAACCGTTCGAAGTAATTCAGCAGTTTCGCCAGCCTTGAAGGGGGCAGTTAGTGTACAGCAGTATTCTAGCCTAGAGAGAACAAACGATTTGAAGAGAATCATCATGGGCTTGGCGTCCCTAGTTTTGAAGGTTCTCATTATCCATCCTATCATTTTCCTAGCAGATGAGGTAGATACATTGTTGTGATCTTTGAAGGTGAGATCCTCTGACATTATCACTCCCAGGTCCTTCACATTACTTTCCCACTCTATTGTATGGTAAGAATTTGTGGTATACCCTGATACAGTTTTAACTTTTTTAAGTTTCCCATATCTGATCATGTTTTCTACAGATAATAAATGGTTTTAAAAAAAATAAAAAAAAATGTCATTTAAAAAGCGTATATAGTTTGGAAAGTGAACGAAATACAAGGAAATATAACGTATGGAATAAACGTGTCATTTTGAGAGTGGGATTAAGGTCGGTATCAAAACATACATGTAAACAAGGGAACACAAGTCCCTTGCTTTCTTAACTATGATGCTTAACCTATGGTCTCTGGTAGGCTTGTTGCAGTGTTTCTTATTTCTTGTGTTTTTGTGTTCTTGTAATCTTGTGTTCTTGTGTTATGTTCTCGTGTTCTCGCGTTCTGTGATCTCGCCTCCCTGAAGCCTCCACTCTCATAATTTAATCATTCTAGTTTGTGTGATAAAGTTTGATAAAATCCTGAACTTAATGGAGGTACGAGGCTGAAATAGTTAGAATATGCAATAATCTTGTAAATTATTATTACTGTATTCATTAGAAAGTCGCTAAACCTGTAGGAGTTATACAGCATCTGGGAAATGGGAAATAATCATGCTTGATTCTAAGAAGGGGAGGAGGGTAAGTAACTCTAATTCCGAGCATCAAGATCCCTTCACCAGCATCAAGGACCTTCCACTCCCCTCCATCCCTTCTTACCTCCCAATCTACCCTTCCTCTCTCCTTCCTTCCCTTCCTTCGAAAATAAGAATGATTAAGCTGGTCGAAACATCCAGCTGCCAGATGTGCCAAATCCGCTTATGTAATTTATTTTTTGTGGTTTAATATACATTTATAAAGGTTTACGTGACCTGCCCTGTTTTGATCTAACCACAAATTAAATGTATATGTAAATATTAAAGTTCTGATGAAAATTATATCCGACAAGTGTAACAGTTGGGTTATCTTCAGTGCTGAAACGTTTGGTGTCAAGTTACTAGTGAAGGTAACTTCCTGTGACGTCTTCCAGACCTTGACGCTTCACCCTCTCCTCTATATAGACTCCATTGTCATGCTTCATCTTCGTGGTGATGAACTCTTCTCCATTGTCATGCTGCATCTTCGTGGAGATGAACTCTTCTCCATTGTCATACTTCATCTTCGTGGTGATGAACTCTTCTCCATTGTCATGCTGCATCTTCGTGGAGATGAACTCTTCTCCATTGTCATGCTGCATCTTCGTGGTGATGAACTCTTCTCCATTGTCATGCTTCATGTTCGTGGAGATGAACTCTTCTCCATTGTCATGCTTCATCTTCGTGGTGATGAACTCTTCTCCATTGTCATGCTTCATGTTCGTGGAGATGAACTCTTCTCCATTGTCATGCTGCATCTTCGTGGTGATGAACTCTTCTCCATTGTCATGCTGCATCTTCGTGGAGATGAACTCTTCTCCATTGTCATGCTTCATCTTCGTGGAGATGAACTCTTCTCCATTGTCATACTTCATCTTCGTGGAGATGAACTCTTCTCCATTGTCATGCTGCATCTTCGTGGTGATGAACTCTTCTCCATTGTCATACTTCATCTTCGTGGAGATGAACTCTTCTCCATTGTCATACTTCATCTTCGTGGAGATGAACTCTTCTCCATTGTCATGCTGCATCTTCGTGGAGATGAACTCTTCTCCATTGTCATGACTTCTGATCTTCGTTGGATCTCGATGAACTCTTCTCCATTGTCATACTTCATCTTCGTGGAGATGAACTCTTCTCCATTGTCATACTGCATCTTCGTGGAGATGAACTCTTCTCCAGGCTGAGGGATTCACCATCTCACAAACTATTTCTCTAAAGTTGATTTACTGATAATATCATGATTCACCTCACCACTACTTCCGCTGTCTCTGGTTTATCCTCCTCTGTATTACGACTGAAGAAACCTACCACGTACGTGGAAACGTGTCCGTAATAAACATTGCCAACATTAACACACATGTCTTACTCGTCAAAAAATTCTGAAAGTGGGGCATGACAATGCAAAATAAAATAAACTGTGTAAACTAAGGCTGGGTTGTGTGGTACACATGATTGATGATTATCAAGAGACATGATTGATGATTATCAAGAGACATGGTACTAAAGGAGAACTTTGTGAAGGTTGCAGCTAGTTGAGGCTTTATCAGATACTAATGCAGGTGTAACATCGTTCTAGTAAAGGGTTTTTCCCGTAGCTCGATCGTAGCGCACTCAGCTCGCACACTGAGGTCCGGGGTTCGAATCTCCTCCGGTTCGGCTGCAAAACATTGGGGACTTGTTTCCATAAGACACCTGCTGTCCGATGTGGGTCGCATCCTGGGGCAAAACTAACCTAATTTGCGGGAAATGCTCAGCATAACAAGCGGTTTTCTATATAGTAGTATGTCATTGATGTCAGCTATGGTCTGTATACCTTGTACATGTACTTGTTAACCACTTGTCCGCTTCTCCACCACTTTGACCTTGTAAACTCTGACACTTTCTCCAACAGACTGTTTAGTGGACTACGTAAAGAGGAACGAGGCTTCACCAAAGTACCACTTCACAGACGGAGTCCTCCTCCTGGGTTTCCTACCAGTACGTCCCACAGACCAAGTTCTCAGCGGAATTAATATCACTATCTACAAAAATATCCACGAAGAAATATTAACCGTAACCCTTCCAGATTACTATCATTTAATCACAAAATGCTATAAGAGCAAAAATTTCACTGAACAAAGCTTCATTGGAAGTTTCGGAAGTAAAGCTGATTTTGACTGGCAACATTTTATGCTGTCGGTCAAGAACCGAAGCTTCATTATCAACGGAAAGTATCTGATGTGCTCAATGACACTAGTAAATGACAAGTCTGTCTATATAGTGGTGACACCAACCCGAGATCCCATCTATCTGGTACCCAACTGTCAGGATGGTGAGTCATTATGTGTTTTCTAGGATATCCTCAGCGTATTTCCAGTCTTAACAATCTCTATACTACAGTAAATGCTTATTACTGACCATAATTTTTAAAGGGGTGGACCGGTAAGCCAGCGGAAGGCCTCGGTCAGATGACCAAAAGCTCCAACGGCGGGTCATCATCTGACTAAGACCCGAGTCAGGAAATACTTGTCCTGTTTCCTGACAAACCTTACCTAACCTAACCCTCTTTAGGGTATAAAATCGCCCTATATGACACACAAAAATAGACTAATACCCAAGACACTATTTACTGCTAGTTCAACAGGAGCAATTGTAAGGAAATACTGTTCAGGTGATTGCTGTAATCTGAGTTTAGACTGACTACGACCCACTTGAGTGTGTAGTAATTATTACAGATGGATATGTGGCGGCTATCATCCACATGGTGAGTATGGAGTGGCGGCTATCATCCCCATGGTGAGTATGGAGTGGCTCGCCCAGATGGGTATGGGGAACGTGATATAATTATGAAACAGTATAACATTTCAATTTGGAACTTGCTGTATTGTGTTGTGTGCAACCTGAGTTAGTGTGTTTTGTTGTGTTCTATAACAGCGGGTATCGTGCTGTGTGCTGCTGAAAGTAGTTTGTGTGTTCTGTTGTGCTGTGTGCTGCTGAAAGTAGTTTGTGTGTTCTGTTGTGGTGGGGCTACTGCAAGTATTTGTGTGTTCTGTTGTGGTGTTTTGCTACTGCAAGTAGTTTTGTGTGTTCTGTTGTGGTGTGTGCTACTGCAAGTAGTTTGTGTGTTCTGTTGTGGTGTGGCTACTGCAAAGTGTTTGTGGGGTTCTGTTGTGGTGTGTGCTAACTGCAAGTAGCTGTGTGTTCTTTTTGTGGTGTGCTACTGCAGGTAGTTTGTGTGTTCTGTTGTGGTGTGTGCTACTGCAAGTAGTTTGTGTGTTCTGTTGTGGTGTGTGCTACTGCAAGTAGTTTGTGTGTTCTTTTGTGGTTTTGGGCTACTGCAAGTAGTTTGTGTGTTCTGTTGGGGGTGTTGCTACTGCAAGTATTTTTGTGTGTTCTTTTGGTGTGTGCTACTGAAAAGTAGTTTGTGGTTCTTTTGTGGTGTGTGCTACTGCAAGTAGTTTGTTGTTTCGTTGTTGTGTGTGCTACGGGCAAGTAGTTTGTGTGTTCTGTTGTGGTGTGTGCTACTGCAATATTTGTGTGTTCTTTTTTGTGGTGTGTGCTACTGCAAGTAGTTTGTGTGTTCTGTTGTGGTGTGTGCTACTGCAAGTAGCTTGTGTGTTCTGTTGTGGTGTGTGCTACTGCAGGTAGTTTGTGTGTTCTGTTGTGGTGTGTGCAAACTGCAAGTAGCTTGTGTGTTCTGTTTGGTGTGCTACTGCAAGTAGCTTGTGTGTTCTGTTGTGGTGTGTGCTACTGCAGGTAGTTTGTGTGTTCTGTTGTGGTGTGTGCTAACTGCAAGAAAGCTTGTGTGTTCTGTTGTGGTGTGTGCTACTGCAGGTAGTTTGTGTGTTCTGTTGTGGTGTGTGCTACTGCAAGTAGTTTGTGTGTTCTGTTGTGGTGTGTGCTACTGCAGGTAGTTTGTGTGTTCTGTTGTGGTGTGTGCTACTGCAAGTAGTTTGTGTGTTCTGTTGTGCTGCAAGTAGTTAGCTTGTGGGAGTGTATTTACCTATTTGTACTCGCTTATTTGTGGTTGCAATGGTCGATCCATAGCTCCTGGCCCCGCCTCTTCACTGGTCGTTACTAGGTCATTCACTCCCTGCTCCGTGAGCTTTATCATACCTCTTCTTAAAGCTAGGTATGGGTCCTGCCTCCACTACATCACTTTCCAGACTATTCCACTTCCTGACAATTCTATGACTGAAGAATTACTTTCTAACATCCACGTGACTCAACTGAGTCTTAAACTTTCAATTGTGTCCCCTTGTTTCTGTGTCCCATCATTGGAACATCCAGTCTTTGTCCACCTTGTCGATTCCTCGCAGTATTTTATATGTAGTTATGTCCCTCCTATCCCTCCTGTCCTCCAGTGTCGTCAGGTCGATTTCCCTTAACCTAGGACATGCCCCTTTCTCCGGGACTAATCTCGTTACAAACCTTTGCACTTTTTTTCTAATTTCTTGACATGCGTGGCCCGGTGTGGGTTCCAAACTGGTGCTGCATATTACAATAAGGACCTGACGTACACGGTGTACGGAGTCCTGAACGATTCCTTACCGAGAAGTAGGAATTCTGTTCCTAGGTTGGCTAGGCACCCATATGCTGCAACAGTTATTGGGTTAATGTGTGCCTCAGGAGATGTGCTCGGTGTTATACTCACCCTAAAATGCTTTTCCTTGAGTGATTTGTAGTCTTTGGCCCCCTGTACTGTACTGTGTCTGCAGTCTTCTTTACTCTTCCCCGATTTTCATGATTTTGCACTTGGTTGAACTCCAGGAGGTAGTTGCTTGACCAGGCCTGCAACCTGTCCAGATCTCTTTGTAGACCTGCTTGATCTTCCTCTGACTGAAATCTCCTCATTAATTTCACATCTGCGAACACGGACACTTCTGAGTCTATTCATTCCGTCATGTCATTCACATATACCAGAAATACCGGTCCTGTGGAACCCCGCTCGTCACAGGCGCCCACTCTAACACCTCGTCATATTCCATGACTCGTTGATGCCTTCCTGTCAGGTATTCTCTGATCCATTGCAGTGCCTTCCCTGTTATACCTGCCTGGTCCTCCAGCTTTTGTACTAATCTCTTGTGTGGAATTGTGTCAAAGCCTTCTTACAATCCAAGAAAACTCAATCTACCCATCCCTCTCTCTTGTCTTACTGCTGTTACCTTGTCATAGAACTCTAGTAGGTTTGTGAAACAGAATTTCCCGTCTCTGAATCCGTACTGGTTGTTGTTTAGCTCATTCCCTTCTATGTGCTCCATCACTCTTCTGATAATCTCCACGACTTTACATACTATACATGTCATTGACACTGGTCTGTTGTTTAATGCTGTATGTCTGTCTCCTTTTTTAAAAAATGGGACTACATTTGCTGTCTTCCATGCCTCAGGTAGTCGCCCTGTTTCGATAGATATGTTGAAGATTGTTGTTAGTGGTGCACAGAGCGCCTCTGCTCTTACTCTCAGGACCTGTGGAGAGATGTTATCCAGCCCCATCGCCTTTGAGGCATCTATTTCGCTTAGCAGCTTCTTCACCTCCTCCTCGGTTGCATGAATTGTGTCCAGCACTTGATGGTGAACCACTCCATCTTTCTCGAGTCGTCTCTGTCTCCACTGTGAATACTTCTTTAAATCTCATGTTGAGCTCCTCACATACTTCTCGGTCAGTTGTTTCATGTGACCTCCCCTCCTTCCTTCCTGAGCCTGATTACTTGATCTTTGACTGTTGTTTTCCTCCTGGTGTAACTGTACAACAGCTTCGGGTCGGACATGGCTTTCACTGCTATGTAATTTTCATACTGTCGTCGTTGGGCCTTCCTCCTTACCTGAGCATATTCATTTCTGGCTATTCAATTACTAACCTGATTCTCCTGGGTCCTTTGCCTTCTATACTTCTTCCATTCTCTAGCAGCTAGCACACGTGGTTTTGACTTCTCTACACCTCTGGGTGAACCAAGAGCTCGTCCTGGCCTTCTCATTATTTCTCTTGCCCTTGAATACAAACCTCTGCCTCCTTGCACATTGTCTTCACATATCCCATCATCTCATTTACTGAGTTCCCTGTCAGTTCTCTGTCCCACTGAACCTCGTGCAGGAAATTCCTCATGTCTGTGTAATCCCTTCTCTTTTAGTTTCGCTTCGTTCGTTCGTGTGTGTGTGTGTGTGTGTGTGTACTCACCTATTTGTACTCACCTATTTGTGGTTGCAGGGGTCGAGTCCTAGCTCCTGGCCCCGCCTCTTCACCGGTTGCTACTAGACCCTCTCCTCCCCGCTCCATGAGCTTTAAAAAACCCCTCTTTTCTTAAAACTGTGTAGGTTCCTGCCTCCCCCTACGTCATTTTCTGGGCTACCACTCCCTTTAAACAACTCTATAAACTGAAGAAATACTTTTTCTATTTTTGGGATCATTTGTGTCTTCAATTTCCCAAATTTGTGGCCTTTTTTTCTGTGCCCCCCCCCTGGAAAAATCCTTTCCTTTTTTCCACTTGTCTTTTCCACGCAGTTTTTTTATATGTCGTTACCCTGTCCCCCCGGGAACCCCCCTGTCCCCAGTGTGGGCCCAGGCCGATTTCCCTTAATCTTTTTTCATGGAAATTTTCCCCTTAGTCGGGAAAACTAACCTTTTGAAAACCTTTTTTACTTTCTTTTTTTCCCTTGAGGGTGTTTTTTCCCAATGGGGGGTTTAAAAAAAGGTGCTGCATACTCCAGGGGGGGGCCGGGACTACCGGGTGTACAGTGTCTTGAATGATTCCTTACTTGGTGTCGGAATGCTGTTTCGGTTTTTCCCAGGGCCCATATGCTGCGCATTTATCTATTGTTTGTGTGCTTCGGAGCATCCCTCGGTGTTATACTCCCCCCAAATTTCTTTCTCCTTGAGTGAGGTTTGCAGTCTTTGGCCCCCTACCCTATACTCTGTTTTTGGTTTTCCCTGTCCCCTTCCCCCTTTTCTTCATGACTTTGCATTTGGCGGGAAAAAATTTTCCGGGGAAGCCATTTGGGGACCAGGTGCCCAGGTCTGTCCAGGCCCTTTTTAAAGTCCTGCCTGGCCCTCATAATTTAATTTCCTCTTTTAAACTTCACATCATCTGCAAAAGGGACACTTCTGAGTCAAACCCTTTCTGTCTGTCTTTTTCAAAATATCCCAAAAAATTGCCCCGGGCCCTGGGGGACCGACCCCTGGGGGGACCCGTCGTAAACAGGTCCCCACTGTGTTTCTTTTAAATTACGTCCAGGGATCGTTTTTGGGCCTCCCGAAGGGTATTTTTCTGACCCTTTTTTTTTTTCAGTGCCCTTCCTTTTAAAATATGCCCCTGTTGCTCTAGCTTTCCCACAA